AATAAAATTTTAAGCAATTATAAAAAAATATAAAAAAAAATATTCTAGCGGGTATATTTAGCTGCTGGATGGTTTAAGGGATAAAGTAATTTTTGCTATATATGCTTTATTAATAATTACCAAAAATAATTCAGTAACTCTATTTGATAATATTGATATTAAAATTATAAGAAAAGCTAATTTTCTGTTATTCAATTTTTTTTCCTGGAATCTTAGTAAAATCAAAATCAATATAATAATAGATTAATAAAGCATTTTAATTAATAAATTAAAAATCATACAATTAATTATTGTGAACAAGAAATTTAAAGATAAATAGCTTACTTTAAATAATCAATTTATAAATAATTATTATACTTATACTAAATTATCATAATGAAAATATATTTAGAATTTATTCTAAATTCATTTTAATATTCCAAGATAGATAAATCTGTTCAGAAAGCTATTTGTCTTATTGATTTATTAGCTTTATTAAATTTAATTCTTGTTTACTTCAGAATTAACAATAATTTATAACAAATTTTTAGTAGGCTGTTTATTAAAACATCTATATAACTTTAAAGCCTTTCCAAAAAGAGTTATCAAATTATATTGCATATCAATATGAATAAAATTACCAAATCCAAGAAAATAGATCAAATATTTAGTACTAATATGATTAAAAATCATATGCTTAGAATTAGCTACAGGTGAAAAAATATTATTTTAAAGCAAAAAAAACCTTTACCGATAGATAAAATAATGAATCTATATTGAATATCTCTACTCATGTAAGAATGATAATTTGAATTCTTCTGATATAATGCCAAAATTTGCACTAAACAAAGTTCATGATTAATATAAAAAAATCTATAACTATACTTGCAAAAAGAATTATGTTTTCCAATATTAGCGATAGTTATTCTACTTAAATCTAGATTAATAATTTGTTAAAATAAATATTTTGAACTATTTTTATAATACTATATTAGTTATCTACCAATCTTCTTATTCATATTTGAGAGTATAAATAAATGATTATAATTTTTCTACTAAATTTTGCATAATTTCTCATGTTGTGATAATTCAAAATTCAATATATAATTCACAATCAAGCTACTAACTGTATTTGGAGCAATAAAATTTATATGATTGAAATTCTGAATATTATTAACAGTTTTTCGCTTTATACTTTGATTACTATAATATTTATAATTTTGTCACAAATTAACTAAATAAAAAATATCTAAAATTCCTGCTTCAGTAACACCAGTATAAAAGATTTCATATGTCTCTAAGTTCTGATCACTTAAATAATTTTTATCTGATAATAAAAAAGCTAATTCCAAATATATATCCTTTAAATCATTTTCAGTATCATCATTACAAATATCTATCGTATTGAAATTAGCTACAGTATTTGCTATCATAGCAATTGTGTAAGAATCTGAAATTTTATTACTTTGAAATAAATCATTAATGAAATAATCATCATTCTCATTGTCTAACTAGTCTGATTGTTTATTATAAATATTTATTAAATCAAAAAACTTATTGTTTTGACCAACTATTGAAAGAACTTTCACAAAATCTCAAGCTTGTTGATACTCCTCATAAACAGCACAAAGCAAATCATCATTTGAAAACTATTGACATAATATATTGACTGTTTTCGCAAGTATATCAGTATTATAATATATAATATAGCCTAATAAAATATATAATTAAAAAAATTATATATAGAATAAATTTAAAATATATCATAGAAAATTTAAAAAATTTTATATTTAAATTTTTTAATTTTAACTATTTCTTGCTTTAACTATAATATCAAATAAAATTTAATTATTCTTACTAATACCAGAGGTTTTATCCTTTATTATCTCATTCAATCTACCAGTCATATATATCTTATATATATATAATACTTTTAGAACTATATATAACAAATCAAAAAAGGTAAAATTATTATTGCGTTGCAAAAAAATTTTTTTCAAGACTAATTTAATATAATTAGAATTGTTCAATACAACTGATTAAATATATGATTTCTATATTGTAAGAAAAAATATACTACCATAACCATTTGAGCTCTTTCTAAATACAAAATTGTTCTGTTTTAATATGCATCAATAGTTAAAATATTAGAGTTATTTAATTTTTTTTTAGCATGTCCTACCACTGTTTTTTATTAGGATATAACCAAACAAAAATTACAAGAATTCTTAACTATAGTTATTAACTCTTTAACTACAACAAGTGACTCACTCGACTTAAAAAAGCTCAGATGCAACATTGCCTAGTGGCCATTCGCCTCTCTCTGGACCTCTAACTTCCTAGAGGCATGAATCCTTTGATCATTGGCTGGTATCACATGCTGTATCAGTATCATCTTTTCTTTTACAAAAATGAAATACAAATACAAATTCAAAAGGCAAAAAAAAAAATAGGAATAATATCTCGGTGTCCAATTTTGATCTACCTAAACAAATAAAACCAAAATAACATATAAAAGAAAAACAAAACAAAAAAAAAAAGAAAACAAAGATAGCACTATTAAACCAGTGCCAGATTGTAAAAAATTATATAGTACTACCAAATAAACTAGTTTAAACTCTATGCTAATTATTTATGTCTATATTGGGATATATAAATATCCATTCTTGAGTAGATGTTCAAGTTCGAAATTTCTTTTGTGGTCCTACCATATCTTCGGTATAGTATTCTGCAATGCATTGTCATGTGAATGCTTGTTTCTGTACAAAGTTGAATGACTGCTAGTTTGTGACAGTTTCGGTGTAAATATCGCAACCTCTTGAGGTAACTGATCTATATGATTTTTATCCCAAAGTAGCCATGTACTCCTGTATGTAACTTTTCTTTTTTGGCAGTAATTGTTGTATCGATCTTTTGATGAGGATATACTGTATTTTCCACTTTTTGTTAAAATTTTGTGAAGAACAGAGAGTGGGGTTTTGGAAGAGAGTTTCAGTTTGTGGGTAGCATTAAACTTCAATAAGAAGTGTATTGAAAACTTGCTTGTTGTTCTCCTTTAGACCACTAACTTTCACTTCATCAGCAGAAGCTATACTTCTATCAAAATTTTCTGTACAAGGGCATCACCTTCTGCTAGTTATCTTGTACAAGAATGCTTTTAACTTGCTTGCTGAATATACAGAGAAGTCCGGAAGAAAACAGTCAGAAGCCTTGACTTTTGTAAAAACTGTTATTTTAGTTGTCTCTTCTATTTTTTCCAACAAGTTTTCCATTTTCGTTAGTCATAAATTTTGGTACAAGTGATCATCAGGGAGAGTGTTGATTAGAGTTATTTAATAATTTTATCAAAAATATTAACATAGATATATTAATAACTCACTAATTACAAACAAATAAATAAAAAGTCTATAACAAATATTTTCAGAAGTATTTAAATTCATAACTTGATTAAGAAGAAAAGAACTTAAAAGACAATAACTAGCTCTATTATCTTGATGATCACAATTAATAATATCCTTTTTATACAAAATACTATCAGTTTGTTTATACATATCTAATATTTAATTATATGTCACTATATAATATTCTAAAGTAAGCAATTATACATTGGAAAATAATATATTTTATGCTGATTTTCATGCATATAATGGATCAGAAACTCAGATTACTAGACCTACTCCAGGAAAACTAGGCAAGTAAAGTTTATATTATAAATTAGATTATTAAAACTCTTTGTTAATTCAGTATTTTTGGTTATTAAATACTTTTGTGCATTAAATTCTGAAATAACACCATCTGATCCAACTGAAACAATGTAAATTAAAAGTTGTCTAACTATTTCTAGCACTTTTTCATGTATTTGCAATATTTGTGTTGATGTTTTATTACCATTATTTGGAATTAATCTGATTATAACTGGTGGAAGCTTTGGTAAAGATATCTTAAATTTTGAAAAAAAAAAAAAATATAAATAATAGCAAAAGATATATATAAATAATGGTAACAAAAAAAAAATTAACTAAATAAAAAAGTTAAACTTTAGATTTTAGTACTGTATTGTCGCAAAATAATATACAAGAATAAAATTACAAATTTCAGCCTAAATTAAACTTAATCCAGGCCATTATTCTAAAAAATACTTATACTCATTATTTCACGACAATATGGTAGTAATAATTTATTAGACTCATTTAATTATAATTACATTTTACCATGAATTTTGAAGGCTAAGCTGATAAATTATAAATTCAAAACTAAAATATAATTTTCTCTTAATTGGTGATTCACCAGTCAGCCAGTGAGAGGTCATAGTGTAACATGACGCGGTTTACTTATAGAAATTAGGGTTTTGCGAATGTGGGCTGCATCATTCTAAAACTTTTTTCATACTAAGTTAATCACCTTTGGGCTTCTAATTGAAGTTGTAGAGCTCGTTGAGAGAAATCTAATGGTGGT